GGCCATCTCCTCCCTTCGCTTCCTCAGGTCTCGGAAGCTTGCAAGATCCGCTGGGAGAGAGCGAGAGGTTGTAGGTGAGAAAGGCAGAAATCCAGCCCATGGGGTGCCCTCGGCTGCCGCTGGATTTGACCTGAACATCTGGCCACCTCTGTCCCTTCCCTGCCCGGCTGTGTCTCCCTCGCTCACCCTTGCGTGCGGCAGCATTTGCTTTTTCCTCCCTTCTGACACGCTCCAGAAACCCTCTCCCAAGGCATTTGCACTCACTATGCTTACCTGGAAAGATCTTCAAGCGTAAGGATTTTATTAAATCTCATAAATCTTTTTTCCCCCCCTCACCTCTCACCCTAAGGACAACACTCTCCAAAGCGAGCATGGTTTCTCTGGGTAATGTCATCCCTGCTTGTTCATCTGTCTGAAGCAATTACTGTCGCTTCTTTAGGGATTATTTTTTCACACAAAGTGCTGACATTTTTCTCCAAGTTGGGCATCAAGCGTGTACCTGCGGTGGTAATTGCTGAGTGGCAGAAGTCTAACAAGAGGAATGCCCTGTGGTTAACGAGGTGTTGGAAGACAGCACAGCTAAATCTGACATAATGCTTTCCAATTTTCTAGTTTAATTAGAAACCTGGATCTCGTGGTCACGCATTAATTCGTTTTCTGACTGGAGTGACAACTCAGCCTTTCACAGGGAAGGTGACCACAGTGCTTGAGTAAGTGGTGATGCTGTTGGCTGTCTGCGTCGCTCTGTCGTGCTCAGCTTTGCCATTGGAACATGGTCTGTAGCCTTTTGAGGCCGGAGCGGCAGTGCCGGGACATCGCCAGTGGCTGGGTCCTTCTCTTGACTCTTCTCCTTCTGCAGCTCCTTGGCCTAAACCTGAGTTTTTAGCAGACCTTCAGTCCTTACTGGGTACTGCCAGGTACAGGTTTAAATGTCACACCTCTCAGCTCCTATCCGCTGCAATGAAGCAATTACAAGTTTGCAGCAGCCCAGAGATGGAGGGGTTCAGCCTGCTGTCCCTGCGGGTGTAAGTTGCTGGCACATGTGAGGATGATGATGTTACCCCCACGAGGTGTCCCTTGGCAGCTTCAGGGGTGCAAGGAGCCCTGTGCCTGCTCCTCGCCCACCACTGACCTGAACCACCCTCGCTGAGAGCTGAGACTGAGTGTTCCACCTTGCCCTTCAGGTAATTAAAAGCATGCACATGGTTTGTGGTGATGGCAGAGCTCACGAACTTGTTCACCTTTCGGAGTGGAATTGTGTGCGCTTGGCGTGAGTTTTATCACATGTTCTTAGATGCATAAAATAAGGCAACATCACAAAACAATCATGAGTGTTTGCCACGTTAGGGGTAACCAGCTAGCTTATCTGTGATATGGCGATAATGAAAAAAACCCCAAGTTACCCTACTGCTATGCTCAATTTTTTTCAGAGTGCAGGTGTAAACTGTGCAGAGTGGACTTCTTGTAAGCATTATTTTCTTCTTTCCCTTAATTAAAATATTTCAGTTTGTATATACAGTAAAAATGTGCCTTTTTGGCTGTTGGGGATTATAAGTGAAAACTGGAAGTATCTATCTGTAATCCTTCAGGCATTCAGCGCGCATATAATAAACACCTGTGAGACCTGACCTCCCCGTGGGCAGCTGCACGGAAGCTTGGCTACGTGGAGGATGAGGGAAGAAGCCAACATCCTGCAGCTCCTGGGGGAGGCGAAATCCCCTTTCGAAGTGATTTCCACGCGCTTCCCCAGAGGAGAACCAGCACCGACTGGCCATGGCAATGGGTCAGTGGAAGGAGGGTGCCGGGCTCTAGTAGGGCTGGGGTCCGGTGGTGGGAGATGATCCCTGAAGCTCCTTCCCTGCCACGGCTCTGCCGTCCCCGTGCCAGCTCCTCGTTTGCCCGGAAGGATGATTAACCACGATGCTACTGGCGCCAGGGTAAAGACTTCAGAGCCAGCTGGTGCAAAAGTTTAGGACTACAGTTAATTACCAGAGCGATTCTAAAGCGCAGTAATTAGTGGCTAATTGCTGCTGCAGAAGTGTTCCAGCATAGTGCCTTTTCTTCCTCCCTCCTGTGTAGAGACGGTTTCTCCGGGGTTTGCCGAGAGCGCTTGTCCCCACATCGCTGTTCCTGAGGGCAGGAATGGATGATGAAAAAAGGAATGGAAAAAGCGAGGTGACACTCGCTGGGGAAGGGGTCCCAGCAGGACCCGAAGTGATGGAAAAAAATAGATTGGAATATCTAATTAGCTGGCACTGCAGGCCTTGTCTCGGGGTTCCCCGATGGTTCTGCGTGGAGGCTGCGTGCAGCCGGGTTCTGTGGAGAGGAAAGCTGTTTGTGTTCCCTGTAAAGAAAGGTTTGGTAGGGAGATGCGAGCTCCAGCGCCCAGCTCTGAAACACACCATGTAGCTCAGCTCTGAGTGAAAAAATTCCACTTTGCAAAGCTGGGGAGGGCAGCTGAGCTCTTGTAAGGCTCCTGACAAACTCACGCTCCTGCAGTTTCCAAGGGTCTAGTGTGCAAAAATAAAAGTAAAATGAATTAGGTTGCCCGTCTTTTCCAAACCAAACAGGAGTGCTTGTCACCAGGACACCGCTATATCAACAGTGTAGTGTTTAACAACCTTAAGTTACACTATGTAGCTAAATACCCGTTTTTCCCCTCTCTGCTTCTGAAGAAGGGAACTCAGGCCCAGCAGAGAGCACCATAGGAGGGGAAGCATCACGAAAAACGTTCAGGAATCACGAGGCTCAAGGCCACCAGAAAAGGTTAGTTAAACGCTAAAACCATCCTCACTGGGACAACGTCAGGGGGCTCTGATGTCTAGAATAAGTTACAGACAGATTGTAGAAGAGACATATTTACTTAATAAATAGATACAAATAACGTGGCAGGTACGAGCACGAAATATAGCAATATTCATGTTGTAAGGGAAGCTGGGATGTTGGGGCTTGGAGCTTTTGGCTGATGCTAGTTTAGCGTAACACGCCGAGAGTATCAGCGAGTGTTTCACCGGGCTGGCCCTCGGTAACAGGACTGGTGGTGCCACCTGAAACTGCTCGCAGGGCCTATTAGGTGCTACATACTTAGATGGATAAATACATTAATACAGAGCATTTGGGGAGATTTTTCTTCAGAATGACTGGAGACAGTAAAAGTGTATATTTCTTTGCTAACTGGGGTGTCCTCGGGTGTCCTTGGCCCTGTTTTGGGGTGCCTGCCCCAGGGCAGGTTTGTGTGTGGACTCGATCTTAAAGGTCTTTTCTAATCTAGGTCATTCTGTGTCCCCGGGAGCTGTGGCATGGCTGGAGGATGCACGAACAGACGGTGGAGCGTTAGGGGGGGTGGGGGTGGCCACAGACTTTGGGGGGTGTCGAGGCTTTCCCCCCATCTCGGCAAAGCTGCGTGCGGAGTGGAGGAGCACTGCTTTGCCTGGTTTTGGTAAAGCCTCTACCTAAAGCTCGGAGCTCTAACATTTGGCTCTGCCATACTAGCCAAAAAGAGAGCGAGCGAGGGAAAAGGAGGCAGCAGCGGTTGGATTTTGGGGTTTGGGGTCATCTCTGAGCTCCTGGGACAGGGCTTAGTCGGCCGAGACGGGCAGCGGGAGGAAGAGGATCGCCTTCTGACCGTAGTGAGTCCGCGGCCCCAGCTTGCTGTTCCCATTCTTCTTCAGCCCCACGAACCAGTTCTTATCCGCATGCTTTTTGGAGACATACGTGTTGTAATGGTTTTCTTCGATCCTTTCAAGGAACAGGCACTCCTCGCCCAGTAACTGCTGAAAGAGAGCCCCAGGTACCGACAGTGAGTGGGGAGGAGGATGCTAGGATGCTGCCCAGACCCACCTCCAAGATCTTCATGCCCCGGTACGGCTCATTCTTAAAGCGTGGAGGTAAGTAGCCTTGATTTAGTCCCCTGGGCTACTCTGCAGGAACTTGCCTGTGACCTGGGCGTTTTATTTGGCCCTGGATCCTTCTCTGGCACTAACCTGCGCAGTGGCAGCTGCGAGTTCAGGGCATGAGCATGGGGAACAAAACAGCCTTTTGGTGAGGCTAAGGAACCCACAACCAGGGTTACGTGTTGACATTTTGCTAAAAATGGGGCCACTCTCAAAGATGCAGATGATTTTCGGTGAGTCTCTGCCCTGGGCACGGTGGGGAGGAAGCTCCTGCCTTGAAGGATCCTGCTTACAGTGGGATGGAAGAGCTGGCGTGGGGATGCACCAGCCCCGTGCCCCACCGGGGCCCCCCCACTGCCCCGCTTGCAACGCTGGCAGCTGCTGCTGCAGGTATGAAACAGAATATTTGTCAAGTGTCAGATCTGAAGCATGGTGTTTGTCAAAAGGCGGGGTGGTAAACGGTGTTATTTGATTATTTATTTACTACCCCTCTAAAATAAAGCCGGATGAAGAGCGGCCGTCCAGCTGCCAAAACAACAGAGGCTAATTGTTGCTTGCGGCTTGCATTACTCAGAGCTATGAGATTCCTGCAAACCACAACCCCTCTCCGTGTCTGGCCCCACATCAACCTCCCACTTACCGAGCCGTAGAGCAGCCCGTTGGTGTCCATGGCCAGGTACTGCCCAGACTGGGTGCTCTTTATATACACCTCTCCCACGCTTTCCGCACTTAGCTGGAGTTGAACTGAAAGTAAAAATACAACAACAACAACAGAAGTAAAAGGAAAATAGGAAAAGGGAGGGAAAAAAAAAAAAAAAGCTGGTCAAACATAATGTCCAAGCCTCTAGGATAGTTAGCAAGGTACTTTTCTTCTGAAGTCTGGCTTATAAAGAGTTTATAGGAAACAGTACAGTGCGTAGTACTCTCATTCAAAGAAACCCCACAGGGTTTAGGAACCAAAGGCCCATTTTTAACTTATTTTGCATCAAAGGAAGGGCTGCCTTCTGGTTAAGACACTGGAATGGGACACAGGAGATTGGGGTTTTAATTCTGGCTCTAATTTACAGATTTCTCATGTGGTTTTGACAAGACACTTAAGGAGTGACATATGAAGAAGTATTTCGAGAGCTAAACCAGGGACGGGCAGACTTCACGTGAAAACCTTGATCCAAAGCGTCCCATCCAGCAGCGTGCTGCAGTGGGCGTTATCCGGCATCTCGGCAGAGAGCGGAGATATTAGAAAGGGCTGATCTCCATCCTAAAAAATACCTCCTGGAGGCACCCATGAGCTGCATCTTAGATTGTCCTAGTTTGCAGATTTAACCTGTTTGTCTGGTTGCTTTTTCTTGCCCCGTGGGTTCCTTTTTTTCTTGCTTTGCTAATTACAGGAGTCTGGGAAAACGATTAGAACTTGGCTCAATCTCTTGTTTAACGTGTTTATCAGGATGAGGCAAGGGAAAAGGCCCTTAGGTTGGAGAGAAGCTTTGGGAGAACAGCTCTGGCACGGTGTGCTCGGAGAGGACCCCGCGCTGCTCTCACGGGTGGGCAGGAAAAACAAAGTCTGAGCAATGAGCAGCCCCGCCGGCACACACCACACAGAGGATTGCGGTTGTATCCGGAGCGACTTGCAAAATCCAGCTCTT